AGCTCCAGGCTCCATGTGGCTTGTCAACAGGAATGTCTTGCAGGAAGAGTGTCTCAGTGGCAGGAAAGGGAAGGCATCGAGCAGTTAGTTATGTGTCCATTTGTCTGTCCATGATTCTCAGCGATTTGACAGTGCTGTGGTGATGTAGTCATCCTCCACTTTGTGAGTTGACGTGGTCATCCTCCGTAAAGCTAATTTCACATAACAACCTGGTCTTTGGAACCCCTAACTATGTCCATAAGTAAGGAATCTATGTAGTGACAAATTGCTACAGATTTGTAAGAGTTTCACCAGTGAACTCTTATCTTTATGTGATTTTTCTTTTATTTTTTAAATAAAATTTTATTGTAGGCAAGACTTTACACAGCAACTTAGTTCCCATTTAACAATTTTTATACATTTTGTTCTGTAACCTTGGTTACAATTTTCACAATGTCGGCCAATGGTTTCAGAAACTGAGATACTGCTCCTCTGTCTCCAGGCGGGTCCACCCACATGCAGAGATCCCATATACCCAAGCTATACCATGGTTCAAAACAAAATTGCATTTATTTGTAATTAGAAATAAATATTTCACAATATGTAATTGCATATTGTTTTTGTGATTATTCACTATGCTTTAATGATGTTTAATTTGTAATGATGAAAATACATCCTGCATATCAGATATTTACATTACGATTCATTAACAGTAGCAAAATTACAGTGATGAAGTAGCAAAGAAAATTAATTTATGGTTGGGGGTCACCACAACATGAGGAACTGTATTAAAGGGTGGTGGCCTTAGGTGGACAACCACTGCCCTGGATGCTACTAATGTCTGGCCAAAAATGCTACTAATGTTCAATGAAAGAATGTATAATTCTGTATTATATTGCCATAAGTGGAATCAATGAAAGTCTAGATTCTGACTATTATTCCTAAGACTGCATTTCGATGATATCTTGGGGTTTTCATTTTGCTTTGCCAGTGTTGTGGCTTTTGGGGCAAGAAGGGAAAAGGAGTGGGTAAAGGTAAAGTAAATTGAATACTTAGTTTCAGTTAGCTGGAGGCCACTGAGAAATGGTACCTAATTTGTTTAATTCCTGTAAATATTACCTTCAGACTCGGGAACAATGGCTGATGTAATGGGTCTCTTGTTTTACTTTTCAGTGAGGTGCTGGCTGAGGAGTCCATATTATGTCTCCAGAAAGCCCTGAATCACCTTCGGGAAATATGGGAATTAATTGGGATTCCAGAGGACCAGCGGCTACAGAGAACTGAGGTTGTAAAGAAACATATCAAGGTAAGTTATCCATGTGAGACATAGTAGCACGGGCACCTTTGCATTGGGACAGGGGTGAGTGTGTTGGTGACTCATCTAAGAGAACACATTTTGGTCACCAGGACTAGAGTACAATAAATAGGGCATCCTAATTTTTGTTTTTAAATTCTTTCTTGAGATTAGGGAATTGTGTGGGTTTTAAGTTTTATTGGCATGCAATCCACATATCATACAATTCAATAGTTCAATCATATCAAGAATAATTATAGAATCATTACTACAATCAATTTTAGAACTTTTTTTATGGCTAAATCATCTTTAAAATGAGTTGTATAGTCACAATCAGTTCTAGTGCTCACACCCCCCCACCCCTACATCCCCTGTAAACTCTTGCGTCAGTTAACTGTATGCATCCACTCCTTCTGTGCTTCACACACTGGGAAACCAACAGAAACAATAACAAAATGAAATAAAGTGGTAAGGATAAAATAATAATAATATAAAGATAAAACTACAAATAATGAATGAGTAAGATAGAACCAGACCACCATCAGTATTTTAAAAGCCAGGGATGGAACTTTTGTCATGGAACAATCAAGAGATACTTTTGCATCTAGAACAAATTAAGGTTGGGTTGACCCAAACTTTTATGAGTTTCGCTTTCTCCTTTTGTAGGATCTCCTGGATATGATGATTGCGGAAGAGGAAAGCCTGAAAGAAAGGCTCATCAAAAGCATCGCAATCTGTCAGAAAGAGCTGACTACCCTGTGTAACGAGTTACATGTGGAGCCAATTCAGGTACACATCTGGCAGCTTCTAGATCTCAGGGGAACCAGAAGTCTGTGTAAGGAAGGGGCTTAACTCGGATGGAGGCAGAGATGGGTAGTCTGCTTGTCGGCGTGGTGCTGCACGGGAGCAATGTTCAGACTGACCACCTACATAATGAGTTCACTCAATGGTGTTCACCAATGACAAGGGTGCCACTGTCGAGACGTAAGCAGCTAATACAGGTTGTAAGGATTTGATCACAATGAAGCTTCATCTTGCTACCCATTTATTTTCTGGGTAGGGCACATTATATTTGAACTCTGACGAATAGTTACGGACAGATGGTGGTGGTTCTATGTTCTTTTCTTTTGTCTGAAAGAAAAATGAGCTACCCAGGAAGCAAAAGTGACCAGTGCTAAAAGGAGGTTACCTAAACCTCTGTTTTTCAGGCTTTTTCTTTACCCAGGAGCTGCGGCCAGATAGTGGCCTACCCATAAACCAGGACAGTGGCTGCTTCAGCAGAAATGTGCCAGGAGAGCATGGTCAAGTTCTGAGCATGCCGTGATTGTATGTGCCGAGAGCTCAGACGTCACAGTCTTGTGGAACAAGGGTCCCAAAACAGCTCTGGTGTGAACCAGTGAAAGTAGAGTCGGGATCGTAAATTCAGACAAACATGGAGCTTGGAAAGAGAACAGAGTAGATGTTGGCGCAGGGCAGCACATGATGATCGAGACAGCAGAGTTCCCGAGTCTCTCTTCTGACAGTAGACTGGGCTACCTCGATGAGTCAGCCTAGGAGGGAGAACACCTTGAGAAAGGTGAGCTTCTAGTCTTTGTCTAGATTTCTAACTTGCAATATGAAATTGGATAAGAAGTTAGGTGTACAATGGTTCGACTCCTTGAAGTTACATGAAAGTTCTCAGTTAACAAGTGTTGAATAAAAAAGAATAAACCTATCAGTGGGTTTTAAAATATTTGTGGGAAAAAGCTATTCTCTTTAATTCCATTTTCCACAAACTTTTTGAAGCTCCCTCATAAAAAAACAATTGTCACTCCCCCCCTCCCCCCATTACTATGGTGATACCAAACTGCTGAGGAAGATTATTAGTAGGATGAGTAGTTAACTATAAGCTTAGTGTACCTTACAGGGAGCGCAAAGCAACTTTTGCAGGTAGTTTTCACCTCTTATGGAAGTACCATACCCTGGTACCTTTCCTTAAGGGAGACCTTCCTCAAGGGACCCTCTTTGTGCCATAGCTACTCGCCATTTACTGCCTTCTTGTACAAGTAACTACACACCCCCATGTGCGCCCAGTCTCTCCTTGCTTTGAAGAGGGAGGTCTGCTTGGAGTCCAGTAGCAATGGTATGTTGTCTTCCACAGGAAGAAGGAGACACGACCATTTTGCAACTAGAAAAGGATTTGCGCACTCAGGTGGAATTGATGCGGAAACAGAAAAAGGATCGAAAACAGGAACTGAAACTCCTTCAAGATCAAGATCAGGAGCTGTGTGAAATTCTGTGCATGCCCCCCTATACCATAGATAACACCTTAGTTCCCAGCCTAGAAGAGCTGAACCAGTTGAGACAGCACGTGGCCAATCTGCGGGAAACCAAGGTACAGTGCCTGCATTCATCCTTCCTCCAAGGCCCTTTGACTTTGTTCTAGGAATCAGGTTTATCTTGTCTTCTAGGCAACTAGACATGAGGAGTTTGTCAACATCAAGAGACAGATCATACTGTGTATGGAAGAGTTGGACCACACCCCAGACACAAGCTTTGAAAGAGATGTGGTGTGTGAAGATGAAGATGCCTTTTGTTTATCTTTGGAGAATATTGCAACACTACAAAAGTTACTACGGCAGGTACTGGGCTGAGCTCTCCACGCACAGTACACGCGGTTTGGGGAAATGACAGGATGATAGGTTTTTCCTTTGTGCTTTAAAAATGAGTCCGTATGGGTTTAGAAAATGAGTGTGGGTAAAGGTAATACATGGGATTTCTACAGATAGTGATTTTTAACAAAAACAAAAATAAATTCTATGTAGCCCCAATAGTATGAAATTAAATCTGGATGAAAAATAGTCGTTTTAAGTAGCCTGGTGTTTAATTGTGAAAAAAATTGCATTAGAAACTTGAATCGTACTCTTGGGTCCAAGACTCTTCATCTTTCCCGTTTATGTTCAGAAACCATGGAAACACAACATTTCACACTCACAAAATGTTTCCTGGCAATCCCTGCCGAGAGTAACAGCTTTCTCCATTGCAGCTGGAAGTTCGCAAATCACAAAATGAAGCTGTGTGTGAGGGACTGCGGGCACAGATCCGAGAGCTTTGGGAGAGATTGCAAATACCTGCCGAAGAGAGAGAAGCAGTGGCCACAATTATGACTGGGTCAAAAGCCAAAGTCAAGAAAGCGGTGAGAAAACCCCATAGGTGCTGGGGCAGTAGTCCGCAAGGGTTTTCGAATGTCAAGTCTGGATGGTTTACCAGCTTGCGGCAGGCCTCAGAAAAGGGTGGCAGTAGCCTACTCATCTGTCTATTGTGCATGTGCCCAACATTATCATTGTTCACATAGCGTTGACTTTCCTCTGTGGCTTTGTTGTAATTTTCCTAAACAGCAGTTAGCTTTTCAAAGCAAATGTGAATGTGAAAGTGTATTAGACACCTTTTCATAGGTTTTTTCCTTTTAGTTGCAATTAGAAGTGGATCGGTTGGAAGAACTGAAGATGCAAAATATGAAGAAAGTGATTGAGGCAATTCGAGTGGAACTAACTCAGTTCTGGGACCAGTGTTTTTACAGCCAGGAGCAGAGACAAGCTTTTGCCCCTTATTATGCTGGTTAGTACAGACTTTCACCAGGGAGTATTTCTCTTCTGACCAAGTCATTTGGTGTAAATTGCCACACCTGCACAAATAAGTATTTGCAAATGATGTGGGGAAATATAGGTTCTCTTGCTTTCTGAATTAATATCTCACTGTAGCCTGAGCTGAAAAGCTCAAGTTGACTATGCTAGGTACAATATTAAACCCTTACTAGTACTGTCTCAATTACATTTTATGACAATATCACGTACTCCCTCAATACAAGAACACTTTGCTCGACTAAACGGACATTCTGTGATACCCACCTTCCCGACATGATAGCTGAAGACAAACGTGTGCATAAGCAAATATGGTGAAGAAAGCTGATGGTGCCCAGCTTTCAAAAGATATAGCATGTGGGGTCTTGAAGGCTTGAAGGTAAACAAGCGGCCATCTAGCAATAAAGCCCACAGGAAAGAAGCACACCACTGGATAATTGATGAAATAAGAAAATTACAATTTTAAATTCCTTGAAATAAATGAGGATAAAAATACAATATACTAAAACTAGAACATAGTAAAAACTGCTACCAGAGGTCAATTTGCTAAGCCTTCCAGTATAATGTGGAATAGATGTGGTGATAACTGGATTGTCTGGTTCCTGTGCCCAAGGGGAATTCTTTCCATTTCTTCTCATGTGGAAGATGGCTGTTATTTTGAATATGTGGACTTCACTGTGTTAAGACATACTCCGTGTTTTCCTGTATTCTTGAGTGTATTTTTTTAAATCAGGAATGAGTGTTAGATTTTATCAAATGCCTTTCGTGCATTGATTGATATGATTATGTGGGTATTACCTTCTGTTTAAATGGTGGCTTACATTGATTGTTTTTCTAATGGAAGGTTTAGCCAAAGACAACAACAAAAATCAGAGAATCCAAATAAACAAAAAAGTAAAATAAAAAAAAGAAAGAAGCACACCAGCCTGTGTGATTGAGATAGTTTATTGTGCCAGCCTGGCCGATAAACACAAGT